CCGCCCCCCTCCCCTCACGGGTGTGTTTTGGGGGGGGGGGCGGGAGGGAAAGGAGATGGTAAAGCCGCTCTGAGACTCCTTTGGGTAGTGAAGGGCGGGGTATAAATCCAATCTCTTCTTCCTCCTCTTCTTCAGTGACATCTGGGGTGGGGAGGTGCTGTCTCATCGTTGAGTTCCTTGGAATCTGCACTGCAGACTTGAGAACCTGCTTGCTGAATGGTCAGAGATAATCACCATTGGCCTGGTTCTCCCCGCCTTCCCAAGGAAAGCCCGTATTTCCTTCAGCATCCCTTTAGAAGAAATTAACATGAAGATACCCAGGAGGGGGACAGTTTCATTCATCTTGCGGGCCCTCCCACACATCCATTTTATTTTACTTTACTTTAAGCAGTTTTGTTGGCCCTCCTCCCAGGTTCTGGTTTCCTTAGTTTACATGCTTCTATTGAAGTTTTAAAAATTATTATTGCTTCATCAAATTATGGATTGACTCAGTCGAGGAAGCCGGCGGCCCTCGGTTTGCAAGACCCGAGCGAGGCTGTGAAGTCGTCGTTTTTAATTGCTTTGGCATTCTAATGCGGTTACGTTCACCGCCTGGGTGAATCAGGTCAAAAGGCGGCATTAAAATGTTCTAAATGAAATATATTAGCACCCAAATCGCAAGATGTCATAGTCCAGCTATACACGGCTTGGTCAGGCTGCATCTGGAGTTCTGTGTGCAGTTCCGGAGGCCTCACTTCGGAAAGGACGTGGGCAGAATGGAGCGGGGTGCAGAGGAGACCGACGAGGGCGATCGGGGGCCTGGAGACCAAGAAGCCCTGGGAGGAAAGGCCGAGGGACTTGGGGATGTTCAGTCTGGAGAGGAGGTTGAGGGGGGACAGGATGGCTCTCTTGAAGTATCGGAAGGGCTGTCGCTCTTAGAGGAGAGCTGGGAGCCGTTCCTGTTGGCAGCAGAGGAGAGGATTTGCAAGAATGGGTTTAAATTAAGGGCGGGAAGGTACTGGTTGGCTCTTAGGAAAAACTTTTCTACAGTTAAGAGCAATGCTCCCTCTAAGCTGCGGAGTCTCGTGAGCAAAAATTCTACTCTGTGAGCTACTGGAATTAAAATTGTGAGCCAGCAATTTGGCCACTGCATAAATCAGTTTGCTCTGGAGCCCTTCTTCCTGAGCTAAGATGAAAATCTGTGAGCTGGAGGCCCAAAAAACTGTGAGCTAGCTCACACTAACTCAGCTTAGAGGGAACATTGGTTAAGGGTTGTTCAACAGTGGAATCGGCCACCTTGGGAGGTGGTGAGCTCCCCCTCGCTGGCTGTCTTGAAGCAGCGGTTGGACAAACACTGGTCAGGGATGCTCTAGGCTGGTCCTGCATTGAGCAGGGGGTGGGACTGGACGGCCTGTAGGGCCCCTTCCGACTCTGTGATTCTGTGATATATAATTGTGTTCTCTCTCTCTCTCTCGCCACAGCATCAAGGCCCGCGGAGGCAGCAGCCAACGGCAGCACCAGTCTGCAGCCAAGGACCTGACGCTCTCTCCCGACGTCTCCGGCCCCACCACCATCCAGGTCACCTACCTGCCCTCCAGCCAGAAGAGCAAACGAGCCAAGCATTTCCTGGAGCTCAAGAGCTTTAAGGACAACTACAACACGCTGGAGAGCACCCTGTGACCCGTTGGGGGGGGGGGGGGGGCGCTCGCCTGCCCGCAAAAGCGACTCGGAGAGGCGTCGCTCACTGTGGCCGCGCATCGTCCATTTGCCCACCTGGGCCGAGAGGCGTCTTCGCGCCTGCGCACCGGCCGGCAGCGGGTGCCAAAGCAAAGCGGCGTTCCGAAGCGACGGTCTGGCGCCGAAGCACGTTGCTTCTTTTGGGGGAAGGGGGGCTTCCGGAGTCCTCCTGCCACCCGCCCTCGTGGCTCTGTAAATATTGTCGTCCGATGACCTCTTTAAGTTATTTATAAGAACTCCATCCAGGCATGTGACTCTCTTTCCCGCTGCCTTCAAAGAAGGAGCCAAGAACAGCCAGGGGGAACTCCGTGGGTTCTTTTTTATTTTGGGGGACTCATTTCGCCCTGTTTCCCCGGCCGCACGGTAGGAATAAATCGCGTTCTTCTTTCAGCGCTCCTCTCTCTTCCCTAACCCTGAATTCTGCCCCGTTTTCCCTTTCAAAAGTATGGGAGGTGAAGGCGGGTCTGGAGCGGCCCATTTTTTACGGCAATATCGTTGGGATCTCTGCCTTATGCACGCCGGCAGTTTCTCAGCTCGGGCCGTGGCAAGAAAGCTCGCCTTCTGCCGTAGGACGATTCTGCACGCGCCCCCTCCACCCGCTGGCCCCTGCAGAGAGCTGTGGCGGCGAGAAGCAGCAGGCAGCACCCACCGACTGAGAGCAGCAGAGCGGGAGACGTTGGTTCCCCCAAGCAAGACTTGACCTTTTCCCCTCCTGGAGGACAGCGGAAGCCCACCCTCCCCTCTCTTTCTAAACTGCCATCTAATAAAAACGGGCGTCTGTCCAGCCTCGCGCCTTCTCGCATCAGTTTTATTCATCCGCAATCCCTGGAACGATATTGGCGAGAGCTGAAGGGGTGCAGATTGGCGTAGTGGTTATGTGCAGTGATTTGGTGTTGTGGTTAAGTGCGCGGTCTCTAATCTGGGAGAGCCGGGTTTGATTCCCCACTCCTCCACTTGCACCTGCTGGATGACCTTGGGCAAGCCATAGTTCTGTCAGAGCTGTCCTTGAAAAAGGGCAGTTTCTCTCAGAGCTCTCTCAGCCCCCACCTACCTCACAGGGTGTCTGTTGTGGGGAGGGGAAGGGAAAGGAGCTTGTAAGCCGCTCTTGAGACTCCCGAGTGAAGGGCAGGGTATACATCCAATCTCCTCTTCTTCTCCTCAGATGCCAGGCCGACCTCAGTCTTTTAATCTGGCTCTAGGGCAGGGGTCCCCAACCTTCTGGAACCAGTGGGCACCTTTGGGTTTCTGGCACAGCGTGTCACTGTGTCACTGCCACAAGAGGCGGGGCCAGCCACAGGAACAGTGGCTGCCGCTTCCCCCCAGCCACACAGTAAAGATCTTCATGCTGTGTTGGCGGTAGCTGTCCAAGCACCGTTTTTAAAAATCTACACAGGTGCGGAGTTGTTTTCTGTGGGCCCAAAAGGTCGGAACAGAACTGACGGGTTGAAGTTAAATCAGAAGAGTTTTTCAGCTAAACATGAGGAACTTCCTGACGGAGCAGTTCCTTTTTATTTTAACAAAACCTTTTCAAAAGTGGTGATTACAAGTTTCACATCTGTAGGAATATCTTTTGGCCCTTATGTATGCCAACTCGGGTTCGGAAATTTTTCAAGATCTGGAGGTATAGCTGGGCCGAGGACAGCGTTTGGGGAGACCTCGGTGGGATATAATGAAGAAGAACAGATTGGATTTATACCCGCCCTTCACTACCCAAAGGTGTCTCAGAGCGGCTTACAAACTCCTTTCTCTTCCCCTCCCTACAACAGACACCCTGTGAGGTAAAAGAAGAAGAGAAGAGATTGGATTTATACCCCGCCCTTCACTACCCGAAGGAGTCTCAGAGCGGCTTACAAACCCCTTTTCCTTCCCCTCCCCACAACAGACACCCTGTGAGGTAAAAGAAGAAGAGAAGAGATTGGATTTATACCCCGCCCTTCACTACCCGAAGGAGTCTCAGAGCGGCTTACAAACTCCTCCCTCTCCCCACAACAGACACCCTGTGAGGTGGGTGGGGCTGAGAGAACTCTGACACAAACTGCTCTTTCAGGAACAGCTGTGCCAGAGCTTGTGACTGACCCAAGGTCACATCAGCAGGTGCAAGTGGAGGAGTGGGGAATCAAACCCGGTTCTCCCAGATTAGAGTCCGCCCACTTAACCACCACACCAAACTGGCTCTCATGCCATAAGAGCCCACCCTCCAAGGCAGCCGTTTCCCCCTGGAACACTGATCTATCTAATCTGGAGATCTGTTGTAATTCCAGGAGATCCCCAGGCCCCACCTGGAGGTTGGCAACCCTATTTGGCCCTTAACCAGCATTACCATCTTTGAACCACATCTTCACTTCAGTGAAGCAGGACATTCTTGTGAACTTCAGACAGTTCTACACCTGAGCCTGGACAAATTGTATCTATTGATAATGGGTTAAGACCACTTCTACTCTACACAAGGCCGTATAATTACACTACTACTACATCTCCTTACTGCTCTCGAAGCTATTCTGGTTTGGGTTCAATGCTCCCTGAAAGCCGTGGAGTCCTGTGAGCAAAAATTCTGCTTTGTGAGCTACTGGCATGAAAGTTATGAGCGAGCGATTGGGCTACTGCATAAATTAGTTTGCTCTGGAGCCCTCCCTCCTGAGCTGAGACAAAAAGGTGTGAGCCAGAGGCTAAAAAACTGTGGGCTAGCTCACACTAACTCAGCTTAGAGGGAACACTTTGGGTCTCTGGGCACCCCGCCCCCCTTCTTGGCCTGCTTACCTGAGAGTCCAGGCTTGTTCTGTTTGTGTGCCGCAACGTCCTCTATGATCGTTTCAGTCAAGCTGTGGTGTCTTGTGAGCAAAAATTGTACTTTGTGAGCTACCGGCATTAAAGTTGTGAGGGAGCGATTTGGCCGCTGCATAAATTAGTTTGCTCCAGAGCCCTCCTTCCTTAGCTAAGGCGAAAATGTGTGAGCCGGAGGCTAAAAAAAACTCTGAGCTAGCTCACACTAACTCAGCTTAGAGAGAACACTGGGTCAAGTCCAAGATGGGTAGCCCTGTGTCGGTCTGTAGCAGTACAAAAGAGCAAGAGTCTGTCCACATCGTTTTGGCAGTTCCGGAGGCTTCCCTTCAACAAGGACGTGGACGGAATGGAGCGGGTGCAGAGGAGAGCGACGAGGACGATGGAGACCAAGACGCCCTGTGAGGAAAGGCTGCGGGACTTGGGAATGTTCAGTATGGAGGAAAGAAGGTTGAGGGAGGGACATGGTGGCTCTCCTGAAGGATCGGAAGGGCTGTCCCTTGGAGGAGGGCATGGAGCGGTTCCTGTGGGCCGCAGAGGAGAGGACTCACAAGCAGTGTTCCCTCTAGGCTGAGTTAGTGTGAGCTAGCTCACCGTTTTTTAGACTCCGGCTCACACATTTTTGTTGTCGCTCAGGAAGGAGGGCTCCAGAGCCAGCTAATTGATACAGTAGCCCAATCGCTCGCCCACAACTTTTATGTCAGCGGCTCACAAAGTAGAATTTTTGCTCACAAGACTCCACGGCTTAGAGGGAGCGTTGCTCACAAGAATGGGTTTAAATTAAGGGCGGGAAGGTACCAGCTGGATCTTAGGGAAAACATTGGAATCGGTGGAATGGGCTGCCTGGGGAGGTAGCAAAGTCCCCCTCCCTGGAAGTCTTTAGGCAGTGGCTGGACGACACACTTTGTCAGAGATGCTCTAGGCTGATCCTGCACTGAGCAGGGGGTTGGGATAGACGGCCCGTAGGGCCCCCGTCTAACTCTGTGGTTCTATGATCCTATGAGTCCAGCCGCACCTCAAAGGCGAAGATGTATCTGAAGACGTGAGTGGTGACCAGTGTTCCCTCTAAGCTGAGTTAGTGAACTAGCTCACAGGTTTTTAGCCTCCGGCTCACACATTTTTGTCTTGGCTCCAGAGCAAACTAATTCATGCAGGAGCCAAAGTGTTCAGTCACACCTTTAGTGCCAGTAGCTCACAAAGTAGAATTTTTGCTCACACGACTCCACAGCTTAGAGGGAACATTGGTGGTGACTCACCAAAGCTCCCACCCTGCACCACACATTTTGTTAGTCTTTAAGGTGCGACTGGACTCTTGCTCTTTTCTATCGGTCAAGCCCGGCAAGCGTTCCCCTAGGTGTCTGGCTACATCTGTGACACTGCTGTGGTGAAAATACAGCTCTCGTCCTCCCTCCCTCCCTCCTCGGGACAGCCCCTCCTCTTCAAGCTGGCCCACCCCCTGATGTCTAAAGCCCCCTACCGCTCGTCCCCTGCTGGGAGTGACCTTGGTGCCTCTGGGCCGGAGGGCCCATCATCTCCTCAGCATGAACCGGTTATTGACAGGGCTCAGCCGGCAGGGGGGGGGGCTGGCTCCCTCCCTCATTAAGCAGCCTGTCACCGTGGCTCACGTCAAAGCACCACGTGCCACGGGCAAGGAGCACTGTGGTACTACGATGGCCAGGAAGCCCGCCAATCAGGCCCAGCGAACGCTTGTTGCTATCCAAAGCATGGGATCAAAATTAACCTGTCGTAAGGACTAAGAGGCACCAGCTGAAATTATTATTTGATGCAAATATTTTTTTTGGGGGGGGGGGAACCTTACTATGTGAAAGCTGCAGCAGGGGAGCTGGGGGTGCTGACCTAACATCCTGTGGCAGGGAGTTCCGCAAACAGGCTACCACCTGTTCTTCTAGGTGGACTTTGGGCGGTCCGTGGTATCTGTAACACTCTCCTCCAACACCGAATTTCAAATGAATCAGCTTTCTTCCTGTCAGCTTTCTTCACGATCCAGGTTTCACACCCATACATGGTAATGGAGAATACTATGGTCACTAGCGACACATCGTTACAACAAGATGGATAACTGTATTAGCAGGGGTCATTTCCTGTGGGAGCGCACAGGAGCGGAGCTCCGGCAGTAAAGAGCCCAGGGGGCGGGCACATGCAACAAGCCCCGCCCCCTGCTCCCAGCAGCCCTCAGTCAGAGCAAGAAGCAGCCAGGTACGTTGCAGAGCCCCCTCCCCGGCCGCCCGGTCCAAAACAGTCCAGTGGCACCTTTAAAACCAAGTTTTATTCAGGTATCAGCTCTCCCTCCTCTGCGAGGACAGATCTGCATGTCCCCCCCCCCCCCCAACAG